AAAAAAAAAAACAAAAAAAAAAACACAATATAGCAAAAAATACAAAAATAACTAACACAATCAACAACAAAAGAATACAGAAGACAGAAACCATGCCTCTTTTTGTTGCCACCTTCACCAACTTTCTTCTGTTCCCAATATGAGTTATTCTGCCTAGGCCTGCATATGATGTTTGAACTTAGAAACCTGCATGTGTGTGTGAATAAAGATAGAGATAAAGATAGGGAAGGAGGGTGGGAGGGAGGGGGAGAACAAACTTCTTGACCAGGCGCTTTTGCTCCACTGGCGGCTCCATATACCGTGGCTGCCTGAAGGGAGTTACAATAGAATACTGGCATGAAGCAAGATAGGGGGTCTCTTCAGTAAAATAACTGGATATGCGACAGATCATGTTAGAAGATAGGTAAAGACACATAAATCAAAAGTTGCAACAAGCTCATCGAGTCTGCTAAGAAAATCTTATGAAGCCCAGCACCGTACGAAGTAGTTTTTGTAAGTGGCCAGAACCTTCTACTTAACTAATATTAGAAACCATCGGCTATACGGCTAACAATATGATAAAGATCCTAGAGAAGCAATTTAACCACCCAAAAATATTACTAAAAGACTGAATTTTAAGTTTGATTATTAGTTTCAATACAAATATATAACTATTGCTAGAGTCAGACATTCGTAGTCTAATTCCAAATCAGATACCAACACTTGATGAAAAAGAGATACACACTTCTGCTTTATTATAAGTAAAAATGTAAAATCATTTGCCTCGAGTGGTGCAGCAGGTGTTTAACAAAAAATTGACCAAATATAAATTGATATTGTACCTGGTGGTGGACTGAGACATGTCAAAATGCCTGTCTAGACATACACTGCTGGGATAGGCCACATCACTTCCATTTTCTAAATTTGCTGCAACAATATGGAAATAGTCAAAGCTAAATGTCGCAAAAAGCAAAAACAATGCAATTTATACGTTCTTATCGTAACATCTAAAACCCTATTACCATAATGCCAAGTAAACTATTTATTCAGCACTGAACAAAAGATAAGTAGACAAAATAGACTACTGAGGTTCATCACCATCATAAAATGGACAAATATAGAAACAAAGGTTACAAGGCAATCGATAGGATCCTACCAAGCAGTCTTGTAGGATTCAGTGTCTGATCATTGTGGATTTCCACACCTATTAGGACTCTTTCCGTAATTTAATTTGACTATTTTTCAAAATTATTACTTAATTAGTTAATTTAAATAACTTTGTCCAGACAGTTGAGACAAGAAACATTATTTACCCTAAGATGTCACATATCTAAATTGTTTCCAATCAACTTAAGAAAATATGAGGACGATTGTTGGCCGAATCAATGTCGAGCAAAAGTGCCAACTCAGTTTTACTGCCTAATGCCTAGAGGCTTGCATTGGGGTTACACTCTGCATGGAAAGACTAAAAAAGAGAACTCCAAAACTTTAATCTTCACATATTACCTCATTTCTTATTTCTTAAAGTCATCGTACCATACTACCATTTTCAGAAAACCTGAAGATAAATAAGAATTGTATCGACATTTTACCTTTCCAGGCCCGGAGGTACTCCTCATTTACAGAAGAACCTGCCACAGCTTTTATAACACTGTCAATTGTACTGAGAGGGGCATTCCTTAGTTCTTCAATTATGCTGTAGATAGGCTTCCCATTCTCCAAATATATACGATGATTTGGATGCCTAGTCTTGGCACCAGCATGAATTTCAAACTCATAGGCACTAACAACCTGCTCAAACAACTATTTGTTAGCAGAAAAGTACATCTGTGAATAAAGTAGACAGTTCAACATGCAGACACTGACTTACTTTACTGAAATTGCAGCTGCAACAACCACACAAGTAACCTCCATCCTTTATGACTGCTGGAATCTCCTTCTGGCAATAATTTAGAAGTTATATTAGGGAAAAAAATAATGCCAACATAAAAAGCCTCAAATAAAATCATCTCAGTAACAAACATTATTGCCAGATACACATACCATGCCAGATATCGAAATATATTTAACTCTGGCACCTTCCAGAATCCCAGTAGACAAAAGTTTCTTAACACTAGTGGGATAATTATCTGGGACGACCTTCTTAGACATCTTCAGTTCCCTGTTGGGGGCACAGAATGAAGGGCTTCGAGAGTCCTGAAACTCCATGCAATCCAAGTTTAAATTCAATTCCTCATTTTCCAAAGCACTCCAACCCTGATTCTCAAAGTCATTACGGGTTAAGCGTGCTGAGGGTGACAAAGATACTCTGTTATCATAAAACCCCTCGTCACTTTTGTAATCATCCAACGGCTCAACAGCAGCTAATTGGTCGCCATCACTAACCACCTTCCGTTTACTGAACTTAAATGTGATCTTCCTAATACCACTGGGCCTAACATGCTTTGGAATTTCAAGAACCACACTATCTTTGGAAAATGATTCCAACTTGCTTTCACAGAAACTATCATCAGCATATAAACTCTGGCAAACAGATGTGATTTCTCCGCAGCCACCATGATCACTACCAACCACATCTACTTGGCTGCTAATCGTCAAACTCGAGGCAACGTGCTTTGGGGAAGGATTTGGATTCGAAACTTCAGAGTGCACATCATCATTAGTAGGCTCTTTCACCCCATTTTCGGTACAGGGCTCGACACCACCAATACGATCCTCCATGCACGTGTCCATTTCACCATCTTTCACAACTGGCTCGGACTCTACCTTTAAGTTGTTCGGTGTTTCATTTTCTAATTTCCCCAAGCAATGGTCTTCACCACTTCCACTGCAAGGTTCCGACTCGGTGCAGTTGTCACATTCTTTTAGATCGATTTCCGAGCAAGATTTTGGATCGTTCACGCGGGTTTCCAGCACAGGTTGAGATTCAGTGTCTTTCGAGGATCCCTTTGTTCGGCTATCATCCATGCAGTCTAATACCTTATCAGTTACCTGAACTGACGCACTACAATTGGATTCAATCATCACTCCCACACTTCCGGTAACTGCACAAGGGCTAATTACATTATCAATGCATGGTTTCTCATTTGCCTCCTCAAGACATGACTCATTATCCCCTGCCAAATGATGCCCACTATCAGATTCAATCACTCGTGTGTTCATTTCAGTCATACAATAGTTCACGAGCAACTTCACTTCTTCTCCATCACCAATTAACACACCTATATACAGTGAGAAATTCAATCATCAGCCATATCCAACTCAATTAGAACAAATTTCAAATCGAAAATGAAAAAAAAAAAAAAAGGTGAATCCCAACTCAAAAATAGATTTGAACAGAACACAATCCATTAGAACCCACCTTTTTCATCAAACAGCCAAAATCTCAGGATCTAATCACCCATTCGATGAACCCAACACAGATCTAGCACAGGTACCATTTGTTCATCCAAATTTCAAATATCCAAACGCAATCACACATGCAGAAGCACAGAGAAAACAGATCTGAGGCTGTACGAAAAAGAGCAAAAATTAAAAAAATAAAGGATAAAGCAAGAGGATATTAGGGTTTTTGGGGCACGGGTTCTTGAATTTTTTACGGTTAAACAAAAAAGAGAGCAACGGACGAAACTGAATAGTCGGATTCGCGGTAGTGAGAGTTGTTGCTAAGGTAAAGATTAAAAATCAATAATGAATTAATAAAATTAATAGCCAAAAAAAAAAAAAATGTATTTCTTGTCTCTTAAGAATTAGGATTGGGAAGACAAAATGAAGTCAAGGTGGGATTTGGAGAGAATAAAGGGCCAAATGAGGGGCGAATTGTAGATAAGGAGAAAATTGAGAGGCCAGGGAGACTTTTGTTTGGAAGGAAGGAGAGAGCAAGTTGTGGGGCAAAAAAGTAAATTATGTGAAATTGAGGGGTCGTCGGGTCGAATACTGTAGTTATTTGTTATTTGTGAGTTCGTGTCGACTTGTTAACGTTCAAATGTGTCTCGATTCATTGAACTCTGGTTTGATATTTAATTTGTGAATCAATATTAACTCGAGTTCGAACTTTAATGAGTCCAGTTATATACAACTGTATTAAAAAAATATTTTCGAGTCTGAATCAATTGATCTAAATCGAGCTCATCTCGTTAATTGAACGGACTTTCAACGAGTTAGGGGGCACTTGTTTATGTTTTCAACAGTAAAAAATTCAATCAAAACTTTAACTCAACTTTAACCCAACCTCATATCTCCCACATTATCAATATATTTAAATAATATCAACACATCATTCTTACACATCACATCAATTTTAATTCACTATTCATTCACTTACATAATTTTAACTAACCATCATTTCGAAATTTGACGAATCGAGTCAAACTGAGTTTTCAAACCCGCTCATTACTCGGTTCAGATACACCTCTCTCCCAATACAACTATTTTTATTTTACTTTTTACTTTCCTTTTTGTAATCCAATAGAGATATTTGTTTCAAGGGACGAGAAACAAGAGTGGGGCGAAAATAGAATATGTGAGAAATTGAGGTGTAAGAAACTTTGTTCACGAAGGGGCGAGAAAGGAGATTGGGGGGCGAAATGTGGAAAAGGTTGAAATTGGTGTGCTGGGATAACTGGGATATTTTTTGGTGTGGGCCCAGTCCACGTTTTTCGGTAGGCGTGCGCCACGTGGTGGGTGAGTGAGCTGCGTGCTCTGGAGATTAATTATGGTAAAGGCGTGTGTATGATTTGTAGGGTTAACACGTGGTTAAGATTTATCATGCTTGAAAATCGAGTTGAAATTTGAATGTCATTTAATACTACCTCCTGTTCATTATAAATGTCGTTTTGACTTTTTTGATTCATCCATTTTGTTATGTATCTAGACATATTATGAATAAGAGGGAGTATAATTTATAAAAAAATGGATGGTTGAATTCAAATATTTTATATTGGGATCAAATTCAATTCAAAAAATTGAAACTAAGAGCATCTTCAATGATTGAACATTTATTTTGAGATGAATAGTATGGAGAATGGAATAAAAATATTTTGTCTCCAATGGTTAACATCAATTGTAGAATAATTTGACACGTGTAAAATAATAATTGATTGGTGGAAAGATAAATATTAAATAAATTATATAATATAGGGTAGAAGATGTCAACGCCACATCAGATTTTTGAGGCTATGTGACAATGAATTAGAGCAATCCATGTATCATTGGAGATGCTCTAAATTGAAACTATTTATTGAAACTATCGAAATGGTTCATATTTTTTTCCGTGCTTAAGTTAAATATAACAAAGATTCTTTTCTTTTTTTTTGGGTACAACTACAATGAAAGAGGTCGAGGCCTAAGTGGTCCTACGCAAGAACTTGCCGAGAGTACGACACCCGAAAATATCGTGATCAAGCCAGGCGCGTATGCCCGGTGGAGGAGAGGAGAGTTGTAAACCCACATATTAGGTTGATGCTAAGCTGGTCATATGGTCGGCGACAAATGGCCTCCCGCACGTATTGTAGATGAACCTGCCAATCCCATTGAAGCATACCGCGAATTGTCCAGACAAATTGGTGGTCGTAAATCGGGTATATTGTGTGTAATTGTACCGTACCAACGGCCGGTATCCGGTCTTATAAGCCAGTAAGGTACGGTATTTTAATCATTATTCACAACAGCAATACATGTGTCGATGGCCAAGCGCGCAGTGCGCACCAGTCGGCTCAGTTTGGGCATAGAACTCGACCTTAGCCTTTGCCTTGGACTTGGGCGGTCTTGAACGGTATGGGCTGGTGTTAAGTTTGAGCCTTAGGCCCAACCACTATAATTTGTTGCTGAAAATTTATTTGCAAAATTGTCGCCCAAAATTAGGGGTGAGCGCGGTTCGAGACGGTACGGTATTTGACTTGTCCCTGTACCGGTCCCATTTTTATGAACTGGTCTGGGAACGGTTCGGGATGAGGCACCGTCGTACCAAATGGACCGGTATCGTTTGAGACCGGGACAAAACAGGACAAACATATAAACTAAATCAAAGAGTATTGATTCTATTACATTTTAAAACAAACAACCAACATATTGATTTCATGATTCGATTAAAAAAAATAAAACACAACGCTGCAAGTATTCACTTAGACCAAATTACCAAAGAACATTGATTTCATTCTAAGTAACATACTAATCCGTTAAATTTAAGTCACCCCTCAACATTGCATTTAATACCAAATTACCAAATGTATTCTTTAGTCTTTTTTATATTTTTCTTTTTGGGTTTGATTAAAGCTTGGACAATTGAGCTTTTATTTTTGTATATATTACATTACAAAATTAGAAGGTTGTTATAGATTGAATACCAAAATGTTATATTGTTATTTATGTAATTGGTACTATAATATTAATATAAAATACAATAGTAATGTATAATATATATACATATATATAATATTTTATACGAAAAAAATGAAACGGGACAAACGGGACTGTTCGGGACAAAAAAAATTCAAAACTGATAGCGACATTATTTAAAATGGTTCGGTACCGAGAACGTGACAAAAATAAAGAAGTCCTTTCGGAACCTTATTTTTTGGAACCTTTTTCAGAACTATTTTGGTCCGGTTCGGTATGGAAAAAATTTTGTTTTTTTCCCACCCCTACCCAAAATAAAAATCCAAATCGAATTGGGTTTAGAATCGAGTTTTTTACCCAATCAGTGCGGATTTCTCCAGATACAACATATCTACACATGTAGATTCCACATTACCATTTCAGAAGGTAATCAGATAGAGTAGTGGTGTGTTACGCCTAAACGTTTTATGCTCATTTACAATAGTCATAATTGTGATGTTACCTTTTTTAATTGGCGAAATTGGCTGATGATCATATGTACTTGATTGAAGATTAGAAGTATCCCCTACCTTGTTACTAATGATCAGAGGTAATTGGCTGATGATTAGATGTATTCCCTACCTATTTGGAATTCAGATGAATAGGACATGGTAGAACTGCAGAGGATACACAAAACATTATTTGCATACTTGCTATTTTAAAAAGCCTAAGGGTGCACAAAGTTTGGATAACCGGCCGAAACCAAAACTGAAATTTTTGGTTCGGTTTTTTTATTTGCATTTTTTAAAAATTTCAGTTTTTGGTTCGGTTTGAATATAAATGTTCGGTTAACCAAACCGAACCGAAAACCGATATTATATATAAGTTAAAAAACCCTTACTACCCAAGCTCGTGTTTGCATTTTTTAGGCCTATTATATGTAATGATAAAAAACTCATATGAACAGGCCCACTTGCACAGACACACTTGCACAGACAGGCCCAATCATCCCATTGCTATTTACTCACAACTTGTCATCTTCTCATTCTCATCTGAGTCGACTGATATCTCTCATCCCCTTTTCAAACAAAGAATTTTTTTAAATCCCTTCCCTTCTTCAGATTCTAGACAAGAAAATTCTTAAATCCCAAGTCCTAAACGGAACTAGATCACAAGTAAACCCTAACATCATCTCCGCCGCACTCAATAATGCACTCCAAGTATTCGATCGTCGTGCTTGTCGTTAGGTGCTATGAAACTCGATATCACCGTCGCACTCCCGGCTCCCGCTCACTCAACTCAGATTGAATCAATTTGTTGAATTTCGAATTCAAACTCTTGATGAAATCAATCTCTCTTTGGTCTTTTACTCGATTTTTTTTTTCTATTTTTTTATGGTTGTAATTTGCTGATTAAGACTATGAATTGTTGAAATTAGGGTTGCAATTTGCTAAAGTTGTGACTAATGAATTGTATTTTTTTTTTTTTTGTCATTTTTCTATTTTATCGGATAACTGATAACCGAAACGATCCAACCGATAAATTTTCGATTAAAAACCAAACCGAACCATAACTTTCGGTTCGATTTTCTGTTTGAATGTTGTATTGACCGAAATTTCGCTCGGTTCGATTTCGACCGATTGAACAACCCTAAAAAAGCCTCATACGTTAGTTATGGAACGTATTGGACTCTGTTAAATTTGTCAGTTTGAAATGTTACATCTTCTAAGATGTAGTCATTGTATATTTGTGAACGAGACACCTGAACGCGTCAGTACACTACGAAATGTATTCATCTTGCGAAAAAAACAACACTCGTCTCAATTTATTGTCTTGCCGCTTTCAAGTTTTTTCTTGTAATTTTCAATTTTAGTTCATATTGTAAGAACTAAAAAAATCATCTTCAATTTAGCAGATTTTTTGTTGTAGATCGACACTCAATCTGTAAACAGAAGGTACGTTGTGGAATATGTAATAGAAGCTCATGAAGTCACCAACAAGCAACCACAATACGGGCAAATGTTAGTGGTTCAGGTTGACTGCATTGATCAATTGTAATACTTGAATTAGAGTATAACAGTCAATTGACCACTTGAATTCGAGCATAATGGCTTAGAGCTATACAAGCAACCACAATACGGGCAAATGTTAGTGATTCAGGTTGACTGCATTGGTCAATTGTAATTTGTAACACTTGAATTAGAGCATAACCGTCAATTGACCACTTGAATTAGAGCAGAACCGCTTGGAGCTATTAATTTGAAGCTACAACACCACGTAAACAGTACCACTTAGATACTTAAATGAGACTCGGTAGAACTAGAACTTATCAGATACTTGAATTTATCTCATATGCTTGAATTATGATAAATGAGACTAATAACTCGTCTCAAAAGTTGGCTTGAATTTATCTCATATGCTTGAATTATGATAAATGAGACTAATAACTCGTCTCAAAAGTTGGCTCGAATTCGATAGGGAATGTCAGACCCAAATGTAATCATAATAACACGCTTAATATTAATCGACGTGGAACAAACATAACCCGCTAACACTCACTCTCACGTGCAACGTGCCAAAAGAAAAGAGCGATGTCCAAATCCCACATTCCCACATCGCCTCCAAACACCAAAGCTTGAGTGCTCGATACCATAAAAATAAGCTAGGTAAAACAAGCTAGCTCAAATTCAAAGTAGCCCATTGGGAGAAGACGTCCAACACCACACTTAAATATAATAAGTGCAGATTAACTAGACAATCCAAACTTCTAACAAATTAGAGCCGTACCACTTAAGAGGTACAACTTTGAACTCATCAATTAGCATTTAAATTAGAGTGGTACACATAAGGCTTAAGTTGTTAAGCACATGAATTTGATCGTTGTACCTTGAATTAGAGTGATACCACTTGAGCAGGAAAGATGTACCACATTAATCTGCAAACATATCAATGTTGCTATAAAACCAACTGGTTGGTTCCCTTATGGAACCAACACCCAATGATTTTGCTTCATGTAGGGCTGTCTAACATGCTCCATGTGGGACAGCCCCACATGAAGCTGTCTAATTGGGTGTTGATTCCATACGGGAACCAACCAGTTGGTTTTATAGCAACGTTGGCTAACATATAGTGAATAGTGCAAACGTTATATATCGTTTCTAGTTACGGGCTATCGTCGACCAAAATGGTGGCTCGGTAATGTCAATACCTATCACAATAGAGTACCTCATGCAAACACTACACACATAATTGGAGTCCATTATATAAAGCAACAAATGAAATTAAAGAACCAACCAGCTCTAACAAGATCGATTGTAGCGTGAATTATATAACCAACAAAAAGGAGAGGAAAGCAAATCGAAACAAAAAAGGGTAAATGCGAGAATTTAATGCATTTTAATTTAAGGAAATTTAGGCGCTCGGGGCCGCATCCTTAACCTTGCTCTGAAAATACCCACCGTACTCCCTGGCGTAGTCCTTCACGTGGCCCGCCGTGTCTGCAATTCGGGTACGGGCGTAGTCGACCCGGTCCGACCCGGGCGGGTGGAAACCCCTGAAGTACCTGTACAGCCAGGACACGGCGGCGACGGCCGCCACGCCGAGCCCGAAGAACGACAGGAGGCCTGAGACGGTGACGAACACGAGGATCCCGGCGGGGAGCCACACGGGGCTGGTGAGGAGGATCAGCGGCGCGAAGAAGACGAGGCCGAGGACGCCGGCGGTGAGGGTCAGGCCAGCGAGGAGGAGGAGGATGCCGCCGGAGACGACGAGCGTGGCGAGGCCGGCGAGCTGGGCGGACTTGGGGGCGTGGTCGCGGAGCTTCTGGAGGACGGATGCGGCGGTCTGCCTCGTCGGCGGCGGCGGGTACTGGCGGTCGGCCATGGTTTTTGGGGGGGAAGGGGAATTAGGGTTTGATGTGTGTGTGTGTGTGTGTGTGGAGAGTGTGTTTGGATTTTGCGTGACTCGGGCAAAGGCCAAAGGGGTTGTATCGGGGGAGGGAGATGAAGGGGGGCGTGGTGACACGTGTGGGAGGTGGTTTCATGCAGGGTAACACGTGTGAGCGAAGTGGAGCATCTTTGGAATTAGCGTTATATGTGTACTGGTGAAATTTTAGAAGGAGGTGCATATATTTTTGGGTGTGTTCGGGAAAAAAAAAAAATACATGTATATGTTTTGTAATTTAATTGAATTGATAATAGTCCATTTATTTTTCATTTTATTTAAAGAGAGTTTTGGTTGTAAATTTTGATTTTGGAATTAAATTTTTAACGTTTAGTTTAAAGATAATTTTTAATTGAAATTTCGAATATTATTGAAAAAACTATGAGATACACATACATTAATATCTAAGGGAAAAAAATATGGTTAAAGTGTACCAATTGGATCTGCCTAAAATGTTTGAATAACTTCCAATTGTTGAAGGAGAAGCAACTTTTTTATTTCTCGGAATTTTGTTTCATCAAAATTACTTTTTATAGTTGATAGACTGAAAACTAATTAATATAATAAAAAATATTTAGTAAATTTACCTGACAAATTACATATATAAGCATCGAAGATAAATTGGTGTTGGAAGATGACTATGACTTGTGAGTTGTCTCACATTGATTCTATAGAGAAAATGAGTATACGCACCATCTTTCCCCGGTTCTAATATGATATCAGAGCGGACATGTTCTCTCAACTCGGCATGCTCTGGACTTGGGCTTATTTCTCTACCCAGTCTGCTATATGGGCTTGGCTAATTACGAAGGACTCACAAGTGAGAGGGCGTGTTTGAATATCACTTGTGAGTTGTCTCACATTGATTTCATCGGAAAAAATGAGTCTAGTATATAAATCTCATGAGTTACTCCTACCGTTGATTATATAGAGAAAATGAGTCTAGTATTTAAGCCTAGTGAACTACTCCTCCCATCACCAATTTGTTTTGAAATGAAACCTCACTAAGGTGCATCTAGGCTCACCCTCTTATGGTGCGCTTCATCTGGTGAGACCGCACCCTCTTTACCCGGTTCTAATAATTGGAATTTTTTAAAATGCTACACCAAATGAAACTTATTATAAAATAGAAAAATTTATAAACTGACTAACTAAGATATGAACTATCTTAATAATGTTGGTCCGCCAGCAAACTAGTTTATTATATGATCTTAATTTTCGATTTAGCAACTGGATAGCTACATTTCTATGTTAATATATCTATCAAATTTGTCTCATAATGCCTAATAATTGTCTAATTTATCCATCTATTTGTCATTAAACATATGCGCACATAAATGTAGATAAAGGGTATGATTAATTATTAAGTCAATGGAACATATACATGTGCAATTGAAGGTTCATGATTTCAAAATCCTCCCTATATATAATTACAGAATGCGCTGAGCCTACGTGGCTGCTTCTGGTGCTTCAAAATTTTATTTGGCGAAGAATCATGCTTCGTAATTAGGTTTGGACAAGTAATATTAATATATTAATAATTAATAATCTAGGTTCGGGTATTCCATAAATATTATTAGCTAACTTAGGTATTTTAATATCACTTTTACTAATATAACCCTTTAATTATTTGTAATTTTACATAGTGAGACACTAAGTGACTAATATATCCCTAAATTTTGATTTGCTTCCTTCAATAAGCTATTGAATTATAAATGTATTTTAAAAGTAGATAACTTTTGTATTTCTTATCGGTTTTATATATATAATATATCAAATTAATCATCTTTTGATGATCTTCGATTTGACATCCATATTGTATATATAAAATAAATAAATTATATTTATCTTTATAATAATAAAAAATAATAATATTTATTAAAATTCATTAGAAAAATAAAATTATTTCTCAATTGATATATTTATATTTAGTGTAGTTATATACTGTAAGTTAAAAAATTAGTATAATATAACACAAGTAAGTCGCACAAATAAAAAATATCATAATAAAGATAATATATATATATATATAATCTTATAAAAGGTATTTAAATTTTCAAACTACTTTTTCTCATTAATTTTAAATTTTAAAAAAAAAATTAGCAAACACCCGTGTAATACACGGGTGTTGTACTAGTTATAGTGTATATATGATAAACTAACTGAATAAGCGTATATATGTATATGAGTATAGACATTATAAAACCATATAATATGGTGCCATTGATGTGTTTTAATTAGTAAATTAAAGATTACAATATAAAATGACAATGAGATTTAAAAAAAAAAAATGTTAAGGAACAACCGAAATTCCGGCTCAATATTTCTATAAATCTCATAATCTTCAATACTAAGGTTCACATTGCAAAAAAAATAAAAAATTACTAAATTTCATGAATGAAAAAAAAAAAAATAATAATAATAATAATCAAAGGGACCCTTAGCCTTAGAAAAACTTTAATGAAGTAGTTGGACAATTAACTCATACAATTATGTAGAATTACTTGTTGGTGTTATCTAACGTTAGACAACCACATTTTCAAACAAATATGAATATTTGTTGAGATGCGGGCAATATATTATCCCGAGTGCACAATCATGTTGATAACCCATGTAGGTTTTTATACGAGATTGAGTTGAGTTGAATTATGTTAGCCACGTGGAGTCCACGTCAATCTATTGTGCAAATTTCATCACAATTTCGTTGAGTTTGGTGGATTTGGATAATAACCTTGAAATTTTAAGAGGTTATTTGCTATTACTGATAATAAATTATATTCTCTGATTACTTAGATAAATACTAATAATTTTATCAATAATGTATGGTTTACTTATTATATATAGAAGATTAGCTGTGCTATGGAGTCAACTGTTGACTTTATAGCAAAAACCGTTATTCAGTTTTAATTAGTAAATGTGGTGAATATTATTGTCAAACGCACATTGTATTAAAATTATTCGATGTGCCAATAGCAATTATATTCCACATTAGTCGATTGTGCAAGTTCCAACAGCATACTAAAATTATCCAATCGGTCAATACCAATTATATTCTATATCCAATCGTGCCATTGGCTGTCTCACACAAATAATAATAATAATAATAATAATAATAATAATAATAATAATAATAATAATAATAATAATAATAATAATAATAATAATAATAATAAATATATAAATAAATAAAAAATTGTGTTGAATAAAAATTAAAAGTGAACACCCAAACAAAAAACGCGTGGATTTAATGTAGAGGAGCGCCCTAGTTTTTACCCAGTCCAAATTTCTTAAGCCGTTTACTTCAGAAAATAGCGAACGAACGAAACACATACGCATGCATAAAGTGCATTGATGAGGGCATGTGATTTACTATAAATTATGGTAATATTACGATAGTCTTTTACATATTCCTTCCTATTTTTTTTTAAATGTCATTATAGTTTTGTCAACTATTAACTAAATAAATGTCGTTTAGGATCTTTTGTACATATTTTTTCATTATTACCTCCATTTAGTTAATAAATACAGTACGTCTTTTCATATTTACTCTTCACTTTTTTCTCAAAACATTCATATCTATTTTCATTAAATAAGGTTATTATTGATAAAAAAAATATTCTTAATTAATGTGCAACTTCTCAAACGACATTTATTAAAAATAGGAGGTAGTATATCCTAAACAGCAAATAGTCAACGCGTATTTAATACTCACTCCTATTTTTTCTAAATGTCATTATAGTTTTTTCAACTATTTGCCAAATAAATGTCGTTTTTGAAATATTGTACATATTTTTTCATTATTACTCTCATTTAGCCAATAAATACATTACGGCTTTTCATATTTACTGTTCATTTTTTCTCAAAATGTTAATTTTTATCTTCATTAAATAAGATTATTATTGACAAAAAAAAATATTCTTAATTAGTGTGCAACTTCTCAAAACGACATATATTAAAAATTGGAGGTAATAGTTGTTTTTAAAAAAAAAAAAAAAAAATTGTGCACAATATCTTCATGTATATGAATCTCACAATCCTATTTCATGTTACCACACATTTTGAAACAATTTTAAGTTAAACTCGTTATAATTTTTAAATAAAAACAGGCAATTAAAACACATAAATTATATTTTTAATCTATTAAAGGTCTGAATTTTATTATTTCTTAACATAAGGTTTATATTTTAGTTTATTTCCAATTTAACGGTGAGTTTTATATTTGACTTCTCAATGTAAGACTCAATTAACTTTATTTTATGATATATTATGTGAACAACACATTCTTTTATGATTTATATTTTACATACTTATAATAATAAAACATAATATTTATCTTTAGTAAAATTGCATTAATAATAAAGTGAATCCTATAAATTACATTAATGTAAAAGCTTAATAAAGAATATTTTTTTAAAGTTGATAAGTGAATTTGAAAGTATATATTTTAAATGTTATTTTATTAATAATATAAATATGTAATAAATTAAGAAATAGTAGTTAAAACAAATTCTATATATTTTCATTATTTTCACTTTTTAATTGTCTATTTTTTTCATATTTTGATTATTTTTTAATTTTATTACATATGTAGATTATTAATCAAAATAATATTTACATTATATATATATATATATATATATTTAAATTATATTATCATTTTGTAGAAATAAAATTTACTAAATTCTTGTATAAATATAACTTATATGGTTTCTCTCATTTAAGTTAAATGTTTAAATATAGTTAATATTTTTGTTACAAGTATGTAAAATATAGATAATTAAGAATAATACCATGATTCACATATCTATGTCAAAAAATAAAGTTAATTGGACTTTACATTAAAAAGTTCAATAATAAAGTGGGTCTCAAATTAAGAATAACATAAAATGTAAACTTTGTTTTTTATGAAGAAGAAAAATTAGTACTTGAATTTATACAAT